CTCCAGTAGAAAAAGAGGTTGTTAATTTGAAAGTTGTCCTCAGTAGAAAGAGAGGTTGTTAATCTGAAAGTTGTCCTCAGTAGAAAGAGAGGTTGTTAATTTGAAAGTTGTCCTCCAGTAGAAAAAGAGGTTGTTGATTTGAAAGTTGTCCTCAGTAGAAAGAGAGGTTGTTAATTTGAAAGTTGTCCTCAGTAAAAAGAGAGGTTAATTTGAAAGTTGTCCTCAGTAGAAAGAGAGGTTGTTAATTTGAAAGTTGTCCTCAGTAGAAAGAGAGGTTGTTGATTTGAAAGTTGTCCTCAGTAGAAAGAGAGGTTGTTGATTTGAAAGTTGTCCTCAGTAGAAAGAGAGGTTGTTAATTTGAAAGTTGTCCTAAGTAGAAAGAGAGGTTGTTAATTTGAAAGTTGTCCTCAGTAGAAAGTGAGGTTGTTAATTTGAAAGTTATCCTCAGTAGAAAGAGAGGTTGTTAATTTGAAAGTTGTCCTCCAGTAGAAAAAGAGGTTGTTAATTTGAAAGTTGTCCTCAGTAGAAAAAGAGGTTGTTGATTTGAAAGTTGTCCTCAGTAGAAAGAGAGGTTGTTAATTTGAAAGTTGTCCTCAGTAGAAAAAGAGGTTGTTAATTTGAAAGTTGTCCTCCAGTAGAAAAAGAGGTTGTTGATTTGAAAGTTGTCCTACAGTAGAAAGAGAATTTGGTAATTTGAAAGTTGTCCTCCAGTAAAAAAAAAGGTTGTTAATTTGAAAGTTGTCCTCAGTAGAAAAAGAGGTTGTTAATTTGAAAGTTGTCCTCAGTAGAAAGAGAGGTTGTTAATTTGAATGTTGTCCTAAGTAGAAAGAGAGGTTGTTAATTTGAAAGTTGTCCTCAGTAGAAAAAGAGGTTGTTGATTTGAAAGCTGACTACCAGTAGGAAGAGGACTGACTAAGTTTGAAAGTTGTCCTCAGTAGAAAAAGAGGTTGTTAATTTGAAAGTTGTCCTCAGTAGAAAAAGAGGTTGTTAATTTGAAAGTTGTCCTCAGTAGAAAGAGAGGTTGTTAATTTGAATGTTGTCCTCCAGTAGAAAGAGAGGTTGTTAATTTGAAAGTTGTCCTCAGTAGAAAGAGAGGTTGTTAATTTGAATGTTGTCCTCAGTAGAAAAAGAGGTTGTTAATTTGAAAGTTGTCCTCAGTAGAAAAAGAGGTTGTTAATTTGAAAGTTGTCCTCAGTAGAAAAAGAATTTGTTAATTTGAAGGTTGTCTACCAGTAGGAAGGGGACTGACTAAGTTTGAAAGTTGTCCTTGTGTGGACAGAAGGTTGGGTAATTTGAAAGTAGTTCTCAAGCAGACAGGACTTGCCAATATGAAAGTTGTAATCAAGTGAAAAGAAGACTTAGCAATTTGAAAGTGGATTGAGAACTTGGTAATTTGAAGTCAACAGAGGATGCAATAATTTCACAGGTTACATGCATAGATAGCACATATGTACGGCTGTATAATGTTCCTGTTTTTTTCAGTAGAACATCTCAACTGTCATATCACGACTCTTGATAAAGCAAATGTGACTGCTGATGTCAGACCCGTAACTGCACACAAGATGATCATGTATACGAACTCCGTATGACTCATAACTCATCACAACGCAACTTGACAATTTCATGAAGATAAACTGCCGGGCTAGAGAAAGTATACACCCATGTTTGATGGCGGCTAAAAATGAAACAAACATGAAATAGTTATTCAATGGTGATGTATTTGACACAGCTGTAGTTGTATAGTTGTGTTTTAGGCTTAGGTTTGCAATGTTTCTGGGAACTGTTTTTCAGCCATGTAAAGTTTTGATAATGTTTTTATAAAATCCAATTTTCAAGTGTATACTTTCCTGTGCCCGACCACCAATTCCATGAAGTTGCCTCTTACGACCAGCATAGGTTGCTGGGGAGCAATTCTAACCTGGCATACCCTCAGCATAAAATTTAAACATTGATGCAAATAGCAAATCCTTCCTGTGTGGACTAAGGGTTTACAATTGTAAAATGATGTCTCTTATCACATCAGTGCACTGAGAGGCTAAGGGTCACAATCTACATTCATGTCACTGAAATAATTACGTTCCATTCACTACCATCATTATGTAACAAGCTGATCATCAGCAATGAATATCTGTATATCGGCAGCGGTATATCGGGGGATCACTGTAACATGTTATGATGTGTTATTTAACATCCAATTATCTTTAACTTCATTTACTTACTTACGGATATGAATATTCATTTTTATGATTCTTAAAAAAAACCATATTTATCTTTTATCATTAACGGGGAGGGTCATGAAAAAATGGACAGTTTATAATAGAATAAAAAGTGCTTTTGCATTATGTCTTTTCAGGGAGGGTCATGAAAAAAATGTACAAGGACATGGGGACACTAGTGCATCAAAAACCTCTGCCACACATCCCACCCCTCCATCCCCTGTAATATATAGAGAATCTCACCCTCGTGTCTTTTGATATCAAATATATCAACACTTGTTGATAAAAGTGGAAAAACTTCTCGGCAAGCCTCGGAATTTTTCCACTTTTATCAACTCGTGTTGATATATTTGATATCAAAAGACACGAGTTTGAGATTTTATTTATCATCCAACATCATTTTTCCAACTTTTCAGTTTGTAGACAGTAATAAGCAGTGTCTTAGTGTAAAAAGTACTGCTTACAGCTTCAGTAGCAGAGCCATTAGTGATATCATTTGATTGTGATGTCATGGTAACCAATGACGTTACAATGGTCTGCAAACCATTGTGATGTAATTTCATTGCAGCGATATTTACTGTGTAGATATCGCTTGATCTCACCCAAGCGATATCTCCTGTGAGAGCGAGTTTTGGATGATAAATGACTGGTCCCTTAATTGTCCTTAATTTGCCATGGTGGATGTTGTTTCATTTTGGCTTTCTGGAGATAAAAATTCGCACAACAAAATTACTTCACCAAAAAAGAAATATTTCAACTTTTTCAGAAAAGCTCATCAATCTGAAACCCAAGTTGGCTCTATTGATGACAGGATTTCTCCGTGTGAAGCAACCCTTGGTGAACATGTCATTTACCACAAAACAAGCCTACAGAGACGAGAGGTCTGCATTCGGCAGTCGTGATTTACATGCAAAGAAATCGAGATTATAATTCCCTTGTCTTCTCTCTTATTGTTCCTTCTGTCTACTCGCGATGATAGATACTACGCATCACCTTTGATGAAGCAATCCCATGATTCTTCATTACCGTGTGCTGACGTAGGGATAGACAGTTTCTAAGACAAATAGCACCAGGTGCCGGGACAATTGTTTCAAATATTTCAGTACTCGGAGCCTCTGGTATTGGATTAAAATTCATGAGTAAATGCGATCACATCAATTCTATAGTACCATGCCTACATAACAAACGAGACAGCTATTGTGGGGCCTCCCTAATGTTAGTTTCGAGACATGGTAACAAATCGTTTTGATAATAACATTTATTATATTTCATCGAATAGATAGAAGGAAATTGATGGGACTTAAATTGATCGCCATGTTGGAGACATGTAAGTGTCTTGCTGGGGCTGCTTCAAGTCAAGAATAATTTCATGGGCATGATAAATCAAATCTACCGATTCGACGTAATAAGCGCCCAGAGCGCTCTCAAAATTAGAAATGGGGGGCTCTTATTAGAATATCATTTTGGTGAAAAAAACAGAGTTGAAAGATAAATTTCGTGGTTTATGCTGACAGCCTGAAATGTTTATGTACGACAGATATATTTTTCTAGAATTGAATTGCCCATAATTAAGGGTGCATATAACACACGAGTGCCTATTGTACGCGAATAAATAAGTCTTGTGAACATTGATCAATCGGAAGGGGTGGTAATTGGGATTGTTCAATAGCCAACATAATAGCAAATACCGCCATGGGCGCTTATTAGAGCAGGGCGCTTATTACGTCGAATACGGTAGTTCGTTTTGTCAAGATGAGTTAAATGAGGAAAGACTTGGCAGATCAGTGTGTCGGATGGAGTCATTGGTTGGTGGTGCAGCAGATATTGAATGACTGAGATGGGGGTTGGGGGGAGTAGTCAATGGGTGCTTCACTTTATAATGGGGTGGAGTCACTGGGTGTTGGGTGGTTAAATTTAGAGTAGGATCAATAGTATTCAAGGAGGGCTGGGTCACTGATTGGCGTGAGTGGTGATCGAGTGGGGTGGGGTTATTGTTTGTTTGGGTGGGGTGGGAGATAAAGCCACTATGTCACAATATTACAGCTGTATTTTTTGTTAGTTAAGGAAACTTTTAACACACATTCTTTGTGAAAATGACTCCAAGTTGACAGTGTACAATATCCACTTTCTTCAACATGCACTATTTGCAACAAATCAGCATGTAAGCACTTTCCGTTCTCACCACTTAGCGCTATGATGACTGTAAGTCTATGTTTAAGTATGGGAGTTACGATCACCTTTGCGCCAAGATCGTTTTGTGTAACGGGGCCCAGCCAAACCTCACTGTGTCATTAGTTTACCATCCTATAATCACTGCCAACCTGCCATTTTGACCACCCAATCCACACGGCAGTCACCCCTTCCTGAGCAGCATAACACAACCACCCTCTCTCGCAGTCATTACTTTGCCACAAAGTGCTACAACTGTTGGGTTCAGGCTAAGAACAGCGTGCTGTTGTACAAAACAACCTGAGCGCAACGACTGTCAAGTTATGGCAGTTACGATCACCTTAGCGCTAAGATTGCTTTGTACAACGGCACCCAGAAGGCCAGCAACCCATGCTTGTCGTGAGGCAACTTAATCGATCAAATGGGCAGACTCAGTGACTTAGATGAGTCATGTCATCACATCCCAACAGGGTGGATTGTTGATATTAATAATCAACGGTTTGTCTAGTCCAGACTCAGATATTTAAATCACGCAGTCATATAGCTGAAATATTCCTTCTGAGTGGGACATTTTAAACAAAACACCAGGGTACTACATAGAACAAACCAACTTACCCATTGGCTGGATCTAATGCAATTGCTCGTGGCTGGTCCAAGCCTTCCCAGAATAAAACTTTTCTATACGTCCCATCCAAATTACTGACTTCTATCCGATTGGTTTCTGAATCTGTCCAGTAGAGTTTCATGCCCAGCCAATCACAAGCCAGCCCATCTGGCGACACCAGGCCTGTTGCTATCACATTAATACTGTTCTGGGGATCGTTCAGGTTAGTCCTTTTAATGACTTCAAGGCTGACATCCGTCCAGAATATAGCACCTTCACTGAATATGAAATCTACAGCCGATGCATCTTCCAAGTTTGCAACGACAACGGTCGAGTTCCCCTTTGCATCTTCGGCATCGATAATCCTCACATCCTTCCTGTTAGCGAATAACAGTTGCGGGGATCCTGAAACAAAATAAACACCATTAGAACATGAACTGAAATTCTGATACCACAAATTTCCATTTGAGATAAACAGTCCAGGCATTCACTTGCATCATTAACAAGACATTCCCTGAAAAGCAATTGTGACTATTTTTCAGCCTAACTGATTATGTACATATAGAAACATGCACAATCAGCTAACGGTAACACATTTTGACATCCTGACACTCCAATAGCATTCTTGCCATGATTAGCTGCAAATTTGCTGATATGGGTATTAAGCACTATCCCCTCAATAACCTTGTAATATTGGAATCAAAATTGGCCATTAAGTATCCATGATTATTTCTCAACTTGGGTTCTGTGTAAGACAGGCATTGCTGAAATGTATTAATAATTGTGATATTTATTCCTTCGCGACTGTTAAATAATGTTCTTAGATATTGAAAAATTTTAATGTCATTTTAAAGAGTTGCTCGAAGGAATGCTTCCTCCTTATCACATCTAATTGCACCATTGACCTATCCTGATGCAGTCCTACAAAATGTCACGCTAGCCGGGCATGGGCACCAAGTGCTATTTCTGCAATAGAACTGGAGGCAGTAACGTACCATTAATTTGAAACAATCTACATTTTATGGAACTACGCCCACGCAGAGATTCACAGGTGAATGTCATGCACAACAGCAGAAGTAGTCGTGGGGAAAACATCAGCATCGTGTTCTTTATCAGTCCAGGATCATATAAGCAACAGTATTTATCAGTCCAGGATTATATAAGCAACAGTATTTATCAGTCCAGGATCATAGAATGTACAGTATTTATCAGTCCAGGATCATAGAATGTACAGTATTTATCAGTCCAGGATCATAGAATGTACAGTATTTATCAGTCCAGCATTGTACACTCTACAGTAGTTATCAGTCCGGCATTGTACAATCTACAGTATTTAACAGTCCAGCATATACAATCTACAGTAGTTATCAGTCCAGCATTGTACAATCGACAGTTTTTATCAATCCAGCATTATCAATGTACAGTATTTATCAGTCCAGCATTATACAATCTACAGTAGTTATCAGTCCAGCATTATACAATCTACAGTAGTTATCAGTCCAGCATTATACAATCTACAGTATTCATCAGTATTCTTCTGGAGACCAACTATAGAATAAATGCAGTATTCCTCATTCCATCACAATAAGTCGTCCTCCCCACAACCTTCTCCATGGCAATGGTCGGTGTGCGTGTGTGTACATATTTATAAGCAAGTGTCATGTCCAAGTATGTCACCAGAAGGAAATAAATCCTACATGGTAGACAGATCAAGGTACATAACGGGACCAAAACAGCAATCTAAAGTGATGGATTGTCTCTAGATTCAGAGATTCAAGACCTAACAGTACGTGGACCGGAGTCAGCCTCATCACAACCTGGTCGCTAATTGGTAATTAACACGACATCTTTGATTTGATTGACAGACCCAGGGACCTGACACAGACATCAACTGACTATGGCTTCACATATATAATGATTAGTCACATGAAAGAAGGATTAACTGCAATTACTAAACTTAATTGTAGCATCAGTGAATGGCCGTCTAGACCTGTCTGTAAAGTGACCACCAATAGCCCAACTGGACAAGGCCATAAAGACATGTTCTTCTTCAGTGGAGGGCGAAATGCCCTCACATCAACATCCATGTTGAGCTAATGACGATTTTGAAGTCGCTAATGACGATTTTGAAGTCGGTAAAGGGAGGGAAATGATGATGGATGTCAGACAATCAGGAACAGCAGAGTGTGATGGCTGACTGCCTGTAACTGGACGAGGCTTTGGCTGGAGTATTCCCTTCAACCAACAAGTGTCAAAACTGTTGTGGTCTTGATCATGGGTTTCACACAAAAAGCCTTTCTAAAGATAATTTGGACGAAACTGGAACCACAAAGATTGCTTGGCAACGTAATTAATTGTCTTGCTTGCCTAAGAAATATATGTTTTTGTTCAAGTTTCAACTGAATGACTGAATGTTGTTTTTATCCAAAATAAAACGACATACACAACTCAAAAGAACACCTAATTTAATATTTCAGATGACTATAGTTATTCTGTCATGAAAAAAACAGGCGTACTTTACCTTCTTTTAATATATATAATCAAATCTGCACCAGTCAAACAGGTGGTTGATAGCATGACTAACATTCTGTTAGGGCTGGGACGGGTAACTTGGGTACTCGGGTCGGGTGGGTACTGAGAAGCACCTGGGTACCCACAGGACTACCTGGACCCATGGTTAGTCATGTTATATATTGTTTAATGCCAAAAATGAACTAGAACTATATATGGTTACACTACAAGTCACTAATGTTGGCATTTCTTTCTGACTATGCACCCACTCCTTCTGACTTTTATATGTTTAAATAAAGATAAAACTTCAGTCAACTTCAGTGTATGCATGACCAGATCGTTTTATACCTGTATCTAAATACATTTTGTCCAGGGCTACGGTCAAACTATTCCCAATCGGGCATTTTGTACCCATCTCTTGAGACCTACAGTGGGTACCCGGGTAGGGTCGGGTAAAAGGGGGTGGGTACCCAGGTAATAAATGTGGACTCGTCCCAGCCCTACATTCTGTGTCCTCAGGGTTCAATGACAGACAACCAGGCTACACGTTTTCTCTACTTTCTCCCCATTAGTTGGGCTACAAGACAAACAATGGACAAAAAGGGCCTATCCAACCCCATTTCATGGATTCCAAAGACATTCTAAAGGAGACTGTGGTCTTTTACATGTACATAACAAAATAATGTAAAAGTCAAAATTGCATCCATCATATTTTAAAAATTATGTTGGAAAATCACTGCAAATGTCACAAAAAAGTAAAATGACATTCACCATTACATGATTGTTTTTATAGACTTGTCTGAATGCATAACAACAATAAAAATAATTTAAATTTTGAAAGTGTTGACCTATTCAGAACAGAGGTAGTCAGTGGACATGAAGAAATCAAACGACTGTTTTGACTCCAGTACCTAAAACTGAGGCTCATCTCTTTGTCAGACATTGAGACACTAGGCATTGTACTATGGGCCTAAGGCTTTACAGTATGGAATAAATCTTATCCTTATCCTTGTGCTTACTAGGCACTGGTTCTATCTGTACTGCAACAGAAACATCCCAGGAAACTGGAGAGCAGATTTTGTGAAGGTCGATGTCTGAACCCCAGGCGATATATAAACGTAACCCCTGGTCATCGGATCAGACAGACCGGTCAATGAATAAGTAGTATATACACTAGTCAATGAATAAATACTGGTATTGCCTGGGGCAACCCTGCAGTTGTTGACTGGGCTGTGTGGAGCATTGATGTAACGCTCAAATGAAACTGAAGACGGTCTGATGCAAACACAGGCCACAGCTGATGGATCTTAAGCAGAAAATGAAACACCGTTCCGACTCACAGCATCCAAACTTCGCAAGCCCTTACATACCCCAAGACGTTGCTATTTCAACCACACCATCAATAGTAGTAGCAGCGACGAAGATATTATGAATAGGCAGAAAAACAAACCATAATAGCTAATAGAATCATTTATTTTCACACTTTTTTCATCCAAACACCACATAACCAAAACATAACATAACATAACTGTATATCTCCCTATGTATGCTTAGGTGCAAGGTCTTACTTTAACACGAGAGAATTCCAACAATATTTTCAGCAATAAACAATAATCTTTGCAGCTGTTAGATTTTTGTCTTTAAGGCTGTGTAGTAGTGGTAGCTGTGGAGTGATTCATTAAGTTTTACATCGGAGACAAAAAAGTCAGGTATGTCCAAAGCCATCATGATGCCTAAAACCAAGTGATTAATGCTTCAATCATCTATCTATGTCATGGGGTAAACTGAGTTCTGAGGCAGCCTAGGCACCCCTTGGTTTTAAAATAGATATAACATCTCCATGTTTGTCTCCACATGGGAATTCCGGGACAGAATTGGTCCAGTAACCAATGCTTGTCTTCCTACGAGGATTCGGGGGCAAAATAGGTCTCCAGTACCCGATGCTCATCTCCTCGTGGGAATTCAAAGACAAATAGATCCAGCTACCAATGCCTGTCTCTCCAAAAGGGTTACCGAGGCAGAATAGGTCTCCCGTAACCAATGCTTGTCTTCCTACAAGGATTCTGGGGCACAATAGGTCTCCAGTAACCAATGCTTGTCTTCCTACAAGGATTCTGGAGCAGTACAGGTCTCCAGTAACCAATGCTCGTCTTCCTACAATGATTCTGGAGCACAACAGGTCTCCAGTAACCAATGCTTGTCTTCCTACAAGGATTCTGGGGCACAATAGGTCTCCAGTTCCCAATGCTCTTCTTCCTACAAGGATTCTGGGGCACAATAGGTCTCCAGTTCCCAATGCTCGTCTTCCTACAAGGATTCTGGGGCACAATAGGTCTCGAGTATCCAATGCTCGTCTTCCTACAAGGATTCTGGGGCACAATAGGTCTCCAGTTCCCCATGCTCGTCTTCCTACAAGGATTCTGGGGCACAATAGGTCTCGAGTATCCAATGCTTGTCTTCCTACGAGGATTCTGGGGCATAACAGGTCTCCAGTAGCAAACAATTCTTGTCTTCCTAAAGGAATGCTAGGGACAAGTAGTCCCTCAGCGCCCCATGCTTATCTCCCAACTGTGATTATGTGGGCAGAATAGGTCCTCAATGCCCATTACTTGCCTCCTTGAGGTGAATCTAGGGAAGAATGAGTCCCCAGTACCCAAAACCTATCTTCTAGTAGGGATTCTAGGGAATAATAGATCCCACTGACCCAAAACTTGTCTGCTTTGGGAGATTCAAGAGAATAACATGTCTCATTGACCCAAAACTTCTCTGCCATGGGAGATTCAATGGAATAATATCTGTAACAATCAGACACGCCAGCATGGTTCAAGCAGTTCAACATTATACAGTGTCTACACGAAAACTAATTCACCATTCCAAATATGTGTGGCATAATA